GGCTTTGCCAACATTTTTCGGCCAATTGGCTAGTCCTTTTGCTCCAATTTGGTCATGAGTGTGTTTAAAATTAAATTCTAAGCAAAGGGTAAAATTTTTACCTCGTTTGGCAATCAAAAATTTGCTCCGGTGCAGCAGCAAGTGGCGGCGGTCGGCTCTCTGGCAGCTGGGTTGTCTTCTCCGACAAGGGGTTCTAGCGGCTAGAGTTAGGGTTTGGGTGCATATGGGGTTATTTATACCCATCCGCTTTTGATCTGGACCGTCCATCGTTTTTGATCTGGACCGTTCATCGCGATTCAATCTGGGTCGTCTGTGCGCGATTCAATCTGGGTCGTCCGTTTTGCAATTTCAATCTAGGTCTTCCTTGCGCGTGAGAACGGATCTCAGCCATTCGATCGCGCGCACGTGGATCATCCACGTGGCTCCCCCCCGCATGGCCTCCTGCGTCAATGTTTTTGCCATCTAGCGCGTCCTGGTTGGTCGGGGCTGCTGACTGACATCTGACGTGGTGCAATTTTTCTAAATTGCATTTTTGACCTCCGATTTTCGATTTTTCTTTCAAAAATACTTGCAGAACCTAAATTTTTACCCATTTTTCTCAAAATTATTTTTAATTTAATCCTTATTAATTTTTTTACTATTTTTATTAAATTAAAATAAAATAAATTAAATTAAATTAAATTAAATTAATAAATAATTATATTTATAATAAAAATAAAAAATAAAAAATAATGTTGGGTGTTACATACACTCTACGACTAGCCAAGTTTCTTTATGCAACGTTGATGCAAATTACATAAATGTAAATTCAAAAATTAAATGTGAATAGTGTGCATAATGAAAATAAAAGTTTTAGCTCACACTAGTTATGCAATGTACTTTGCCTTCAATTTCTCAAAGGATTTTCGGTCACACGTTACATAGTTATTATGCTTTTGTGATGCAAATGCAAACAAGGTGTCAATTGCCTTATGGTGTGCAACTGGGTATTTTTAGTATTTTGATATATATATTTTTTTTGAATAATAACATGAACTACTTTAATTGAAC